TGACTCTGAAATGTCAGCGAAATTTGTCCTACGCTTTCTACTGAGAATTATTTTGACTTGCTGTGTCCTCAATTTCTGGGAGCATACCTTATAAAGTGGTGACTCTGCGATTGGGTCATGGCAGGTGCAGCAACTGCATACTCTCCATTATGTTCTCTTGTTCCACCTGAAAATGAACATTATAATTTTCTGGCGTGATTGATTTTTTAAACACACTGGCTGTCTCCTATTCAAGGTAGGTAATTGGGAAAGAGAAAATACATTTACTGTCTCATTCACTCTGTCCTTGTCTGCCAAAAAGGCATTCTATATAACAGTTCCAAATAGCCTGCTGAACTTCCACATCCCCACCCCTCTTCACAATGTAGGCACTGCACTTCCCAACTCCAGGACATTACAGTTAACATGATTCTCTGAATCACTTCATGTTACCTTGCTCCATGCTACCAACTGCAGTCAAAGTCATCAAAACCTTCTCACTTGCCTCCAGTCCTATATAGTGAAACTCTCACTAGCGGACAGTGGTTCGATTACATTCACTCAGGCTCGAGCTGCACATTCTGAGTTAGATGACCCTAGGGCACAGAGTATAAGTGTATTAAATGTTTACCGAAGGTTTGTGGGGATAGTGATTTCTGTAGCTGAGAAAGAGAAGCAGCAATGTGATTTCAAAATTTTTTAATGGAAGGAGGACATGATGATTATAATTATTTTAATCAAAAAGAAGCGCCAAGCCACAAGGACTATACAGCGCTGAGGGCAGGAAGGAGCGAGGGCATCAATGTGGCAAAAGGGAGATGGTTGAGTAAATAGGTTACGGACAACGGCGGGGCAGTGGATGGTGAAGAGTAAAGGGCAGCAAGGATGAACTTGATAGGGCTGTGGGGAGTGCGAAAAGTATCAGAGTTTGTGAGTAAATCAGTCGTTGTCAAGAAGTCAATGAGAGAGTCAAGGATTAAAGGAGGGTACATCATCAAGAAGGGAAGTAAAGAGAGAGTAGTAGAACGTAGACTACGTTGGAGGTAAATTCTGCGTGCTCGTTGATAGAGAGGGCTCTAACAGAATGTGGCTAATCGATACTGGAACTTGACACTGCTCACAGAGAGGAACAGGGTGCCTCTCCATGATAAGACGAGTGTGGCCAATGCGAAGGCGGGAAGAGTGGTCTCCCAACCTCGGCACTGATGACAAGAAGACGGCCAGTAACCTATGCTCGGTTTAATAGAATGAAATTTTTACCGAGCAGAGTTGACCAACGTTGTTGCCAACGGGTGCGAAGGTGGGTAGCTATTGCAGGAAAATAGTCCAGAAATGGAACACCTCGATAGGAAATTGGTTTGGGTCATGTACTGCTGACCGCGCAGCAGTGTCTGCCTGTTCATTGCCCCGTACGTCGAAATGTGTAATCAAGTTGGATTTGCACAATGGAAAACAGGTCTTAGAATAGTTTTACGGATGCAAACAATACTGGAGAAGTGGTCACTATCATGAAAATTTTGTATACTATGTCCAACTAAAGTAACACTACCACATATTTAGCAAATAGAGGTATCAATTTGCTCAATATCTATGGTCTAAGTCATGGTATTCAGGACAAAAGTAAAAAGAGGAAAGAAAAAGACTCCAAAAGAGTCTACCAGCTCACGTATTAATGAATCCCTGGTAGACTAAATGTCCCGCAATAAAATTACCCCAACCCACACCACGTCTTATATAAGTCCTCTCCCAGGATGCAGCCCACAATAATTACCCAACACTCCATAACCCTGCTTACTAGTAAGTGAACAGGAATAACAGGTGTGGAAATATATGCAGCTTTCCAAGAATGCAGAGACCGGTCATAGAATCCTCTTTTTAGTGACTATAAAATTAATGAGTAGATCAGAAGTGAAAAAACCCAAATTTTGCTACTAAAACCCATTAAAACAAAGTGGAATGAAAACCAGGTTTTGCTTAAATTTT